CATAATTGATCTCTGATATGTGCTCCTAATTCAGATAAAAAGCCTTCCCTACCCACAGTGCAGAGTGCATGTGACTGATGCATTTTATGGGCAAATTTGTAGGTTTTTGATAACTTTCTGTAAAGAAGTTTTCACGGGGTCTAAACCTCTTGGGGCTCTTTCCGTCTCAAGTTCAAGTTACTTAGTGATTAAGGATGTTTTATAGGCTCTTGTGGTAAATGATAGCATAGAGAAAAAGCATTCCTTGGCCGTGTAATTTAGCAAGACTTAAGCTGTTTGGGTTTTCATCCACTGGGCTTGCTGAAAACTTTAAATGATTAACCTATTTCTCTGCAGCCTGCAGAGGCTCCAACATTTGCATCAAGGGCCCGAGTTCAGTGATTACCCAGCTCAGGTTGCCTTCTTTTTTTTTTTTTTTTTTTAATTTAGAGAACTCTTCATCTCAGTCCAGCTGCTTTTTTCCTGGGACAACAGACTCTGGATACAGTATTCTTTTACTCTGCAGTATTTATAAAATAGTAGAAGTCAATGAGACCAAACAGCAAAAGTCTGTTGTTTCTTTAACTTAGTTTATTTGACATTTTTCCCTGCTTGGTATTTAGCGACTAAGAGCCTATTGAACTTTGAAACGCCCAGCTGTGTCACCTGAAATCTCCAGACTCTGCGAAAGATCCCAAACCACAGCCTGGTCGCTCCCGAGGGAAGGAGCACAGGGTGACCTGATGGGACAGATGCGGGCTGCCCTCAGTCAAACGTCACCCCCCACCAGCCACACAGTCCTAAAAGGATTGTGTTAAGTCGCTTTAGAAAAGTGGGCTCTGTGCAAGAGGAACTTGGGAATCCCCTAGGTCCTACAGTTTTGTTACCCAAACAGAGCTCCAAAGCAAGGCAGACATGGAGGACAGTTTCCGGGCAACGTTCTGATTTTGCCTTTTCAGGAAAATGGAGGCCTTGCCTGCTCTCTCTGCCCACAGAGTCATCGGACAGAGTCTCCACTAGGAGCTTTCATTTTCGAAGACCTCCTATCCCGGAGAAACTTCTGCGGTGTTTGCCAAGCCCCTCCCTGGTGCTTCATCTCCCTCTGTGTCTGTGTCACCATCCCTCCTCGCCTTCTGTCAGTGGCACCCAAAGTCCTTTTTTTTTCCCCCGGAATGTAGGTCAGGCTGCTTATTTAAAAATGAAAGTGAGCGAGCCAGAGAGGTCATGCCAGATTTGGAATTGAGGGAGGGTTTTGTGTTTTCTAGGGTATCCCAGGGAGGATAGGGGTGGTTTCTGGGAGTCCACAGTGGAAGCTTACGGGGGGAATGGGGGGAAGATGGGCTTATAGATATGCCTTAGAGAGCATTCAGAACTGAAGAATCAATGCTTATAATAATGGAACTCATAAAATATTCTAAACCAAGTAGAATTTAGTGCCTCATCATTGAGGCCCAGAGAATCAATTGCACACATCTCCTGGCCAAATCAGAAGTCATTCAGTACCAATCTCTAAAGAGACGATCTAGATTTCTTGGTGCATATTTAGTGTCCTTTTGAGTCCCTGGAGGCCGTTGGGTCGCACTGAGGGGCTGAGCCAAGTATTAGCAGAATTTTGTTTTTCTCCCAAACTGCGCAGTACTTGCTTGCCCGGGTCTCTGAGGGTTTGGGTCACTTGTCCTAGTGAAAGTCCTATTGATGTAATTCCAGGGGAGGGAAAGGAAGGAGATAAAGGGCAGCCCCACAGCAGGCCTCCTCAATCTTCTTATCAGGGTCACTCAGCCGTCCATGTCTCAGAGGGATTTCCAGGCCCAAAGTAATTCTTTCATGTTTGTTTTACAATATAGTGGCATTTCCTCAAGTCCCCAGAAAATAGAGACCGGCTCTATCCAGTGTCAAGTACAAGTACGAGCTGGACCCAGACAGCCCATCATTTTTTTTTTTTTCTCCCTTACCACTACCTGTTCAGTGAGAAATCATTTCTTTTCACTCACGCAGAAGAAGTCTGGAGATAGGCCATCCAGGGCTGCCTACTTTCCTACTTTTCTGATATCCCTTGTAAGGGCTGTCCTCGACTGCCCCTCTCTCTGAATGGTTGCAGGACCTTCAGCTACAGAGTGTGAGGTCTAGGGCAGAAGGATGGATGCAGGCAGTCAAGGGGCATATGCCCCTAACTCTGACCCAGGGAACGGGTTTTATTAAAGGTCACACCCAGAGAGCTCTACTGTCATCTCATGGGCCAGATCCACGCCATTTACGTCACCACCCCCAACCCCACCTGCCACCCCCTAGATGCAAGGGAGAAGCTTAGTTATATTAGTTGGATACACACACACACTCACACACATACACACATATATTTTCTTTCCTGGCACATTGTTGCCCCAGTTGGGAATTGGCTAGTTAGGAAGAAGCAAAAAATGAGATATTTGATGATACGGAAATTAAAAATATCCACCCCACTATTCTGTTGTGAGGACAAAGTGTATGTGTGCAATGCACCCAAGCGTGCTTGACGAACCAGGGTGACGTGAAATGGCATTTCCTTCTCTCTCCTGGTGCTCCCTTCTCTTTGGGGGCCCCGTTCACAGGCGGAGCACACAATGGAGAATGCCTTGATGCCACAGTGTGGTTCCCATCTAATTACATCCACTGAATAATTTCATCTTTAGGGACAAAAATAACTGCTACGAGAAAAAAAAAATCAGCCTCCCTCTCATCGTGGACTGAGCGTCTGAAACTAGAAATGGAATTTTCTTGGGAGCCTTCCTGCAGAGCTTACAGAAACAACAACTATTAATTCAGATAGAGCCGTCCTACAAGCTGTTAAAAACCCATAAAAAATGCTTTATGATTCTGCCTACGTTCTAATTCTGTGAGGCAGCAGTCTCATTTTTGGGTGCCCTGTACCTGATGCTGACCATGTCGACAAGAGTTTACACTAACCTGAAATATAGGCAAACACACACAATTTCTGCATTACTTAAGATCTTTATTATTAAGTAACTCATTGGGGGTGTCAGAGTGTGTTATGAGTCTAAACAGAAAATTGAGATAAATGTGACAAGAGAACACGGATTTTATATTCTACTCGGGGTAAGAGGATTTAACCAGTGGAAGCGCATAGCACAGGGAAATGTAATTATTGGATATTGACAGTTCTATTCTGATACTAACAAAATGCGAATCCTGGTTTGGCAGAGTCCAGGAAGCAATGCAAAATGAAATGAAACTAGAGGTGTGTGAAACAATCTTAGAAAGTCGGGTTGGTGGTGGGGAGGGCCTCTGGGTTTGTCACAGTGGTGGTAGATTTCTACTTGGTAGATGGTGGCCTTCTAATTTATCTGAGTAATTGTTGCTACAAAATCTGAATCTACAAGGCATGTGTAATTTTAAAAATGGGTTTTGCATTTCTGGAGCAAGACAGAAAAAAATGCATTCTTTAGATCTGTGATATTAAGCTTCAGGACAGTTTTACAACCTGGGACCTGAATGAATCTCTTATCCATAAAACAATAGGAATAAAAGATTTGCACACATGCATTTAAAAAAGTTACTTCAGTGCTCATGGTCAAAAGAAAGAAAGAGGGAAAGGAAGGAAGGGAGGAAGGGATGATGGAAAAAGAAAAAAAAGGAGTAAAACTCTTTATATACCTACATATTTTACTTTGACTGGTAATCGCACACTTTATGATTCAGTTCAATTTACTTGTAAGCTTTCATTTAAATGGGGGGGGGGCAGAATGTTTCCAGAAACTGCAAAAACAATTTGTGTGTACATATATTTAAATAAAATAAGCAAAGGAAAAACTGTGGCATATGCTTACAGCAACAATGTAAAAAAAAAAAAAAGAAAAGAAAAGAAAAGAAAAAAGAAAGCGAGTAAAGAAACACATTAATTCTGAATGAAGTTAACAACTGTTCAATTTATAAAGCTGAACGTGACTTTACTCATAGGGAATTGGGCTTAAAGTAATCATGATTAACATCTTTTGACACAGAAATAGAGCAAACAAATTTACTTCCCCCAATTTAAGCAATTCCATAACACCTAGCTTATCTGTTTAATAATGTGCATAAAAATCACCTTCATTATATTTCACAAAATCTTCCATTTAAATGATCATTCTAAGTTCAATGGGAGAGTTGTTGAAAATCTAGAATTCAATCATTTATGTCTTATAGAGTGACCAAGACAGAAGACATACTTAACTGCTTCTGGGCACAAATAAATTTCTTTCCCCTTGCTGTCCCCTTATGTCTCCCCCCGCCTCCCCCCAAAATAATGGTTCCATCCCTTACGTAGCAAGCAAAAGCAGCTACAGTCTTTCAGAACACAGCACAGTTGTCTGAGAAATGTTTCCCACTGCCATCCCTTCCCTCATCCCACCTCTGTGATCCTATCTTCGTATTGTCCTTGGAGAAGATGGGGTTGGGCAGAGGAAGCTCCCTTGCTCGAGAAGCTAGAAATGTCACCGTTGCCTTATTTCTGCTCTTCCATATAAAGGCATTTGTTGCCGTTACTCGGGGTGTTTGAGAGAGAAATACTGTTCTGAATGTCAACTTTTTTTTTCTGCCGTATGAATCAGAAGAAAGAAAAACAGCTTCTAGCGCTCTTCAATCATTAACCTGCCCAAGTGGCAGGTGTCTCTATCTCACAGTCACTACCTCTTTCTGTGGATACCAAGACACTATGAGGGGCAAACACCGAGCCTGCCAGGTGATTTCAGTTAAATATCTCAATGTTACAATCTACTGGATGCATATCTTGCCTATCTTGGTTAGAAAGACGTGACGTTTTTTCCAGGAAACTACTATCCATGTTGATACATTTAAAAATTAGTTATTCATGCTGGCTGTCTGTCTTCCTTATGCCAGTATCCTACCTTTGTTCTCCTTTACCAAATAGGACACCTGCAACTAAAGATGCAAGTGTGTGATATAAGAAAAGGAGGTGAAATGTAAATTAATCAATTAGGCTCTGAATAGCATCCCTAATATCAAATTTGCTAACACACACACACAAAAGTTTAAACGATTGGATACTATGTAATTTTTAGATGATCTTTCACCAGATTTAACCTGCTCTTCTTTTCCCCCAAGTCCATCAGACGTAGCTATACCATTCCTTAAAAGCCCTGCTTATAACTACTTGCCTTAAAGTGATGGGCTACAGAGTAAAATGATGGAGTGGTGGCCCTGGTCATCACAATTTGAACTACATTTGGGATTCTACAGAGATTCTATTTAAAGTCAAGACAGCTTTCTGATAAGGTGCTTCCTTACACTCATCCACGGCGGAGGTGATGGTCTCTTCTGGGTTCTCACAACTGCTGACAATGGCAATGGCACTAAATGACCTTCTTCTGACCGTGGTGTCCGATGTGCCAGATCCTCGGACCGGGGGGCCTTTGTCCATGTTGTGGAGCTGCTGGTCTTTCCAGTCTAGCTGTTTGGCGCTGCAAAAGGGAGCGTATACCTCAACGCTCCCCTCAAACTGTAAGCAGTTCACTTTGTAGTACTTTCTTTTAACTTCCAGGACGTCATTAAACCTATGACCCCAGAGAATTTCTCGGGGAACGTAGGAACTTCTGGATTGGTGGGAAGTGCCCGTGGAATCACCAGTGTAGATAAATGTCACCAAAATCTCAAAGTTATCTTTGGCCACTGCTTTTCGGTCAAGGGCATACAGAGGGCTCTCGTGGTCAATTTCATGAACAATAGTTACCGGTGTGACAAGGATGATCTGGTCGTTGACCAACTTTAGGTCTTTGAATGCCATGGTCATTCGCCCTTCGCTGTCTTCTGTGTAGCGGAGAAGTTGGGCTCTCACTGTGCCTTCTACCACATGGTTTGGCCGGAAATCACCAATGCGCCACATGAGGCAAAGCTTCCCATCCCTCATGCCTATGAGGGCAAAATAGCTAAACCGAATGGTTTGGGCTCTCTTTCGAGCGGTCGCCATTTTGGCCAAGGCGGCTCCGATGATGAAGGTGTTTATGATGCAGCTCAGGATGGATTGAAGGATCACCATGAGCACTGCCACCGAGCATTCTTCAGTGACACAGCGGTACCCGTAACCTATGGTGGTCTGGGTCTCAAGGGAGAATAAAAACGCCCCTGTAAAGGAATGGACATTGTCAACACAAGGCGTGATGTCCGGATCATTTAACAGATCGCCATGATGAAAGGCAATTAGCCAAAAGATGGAGCCAAATATCAACCAGGAGAGAATATAAGATAAAGAAAATATGACAAACATATGGCGCCACTTGGTGTCTACAAGAGTAGTGAAAATGTCAACCACATAGCTCCCCCATTCTCCAAAAATGTGCTTGAAGTACACGTTGCAGCTACCATCTTTGTGGAGCAGACGTCTTCTGGCTCTTCTCTTCTCAGCTAGGATGTGCTCTTGGGGGTAGCCTGGGTATTTGGGGTCCACGTTTACAATCGGGTAGCTGCTGCCGTAATAGCTCATCCTTTCCTCTGTCCTTCCAGCATCCAGGTGGATTTTGTACAAGGAGTAGTTCTGTTGCTATTTGTTGATTTAAGTTTTCAGTTAAAACCTGAAAAAAAGAAAATTAAATACGCCTTAGCTTTAGCTTTTAATTTCCATCTTTAGAGCAATTTGCCAAAGTTGAAGCAATTTCATGCCATCCGAAGTGGCAAAGACTTCATTTGAACGACAGAGACACTCAGTATTGATTACTCATTTCAGCTTAGAATTCAACTCAGTCATTATAGGAGCAAAATATGCAATTAGAGAAAATAACATTTTTATATATGCAAAAGGTTTGGGCAAACACTATGATTATCCCAAAAGAAGACTTACTACCTTTCCTGACCTGACATAAACAAAAGTCTTGTTTTTATAGACTCTTCTGGCATGAGGGCGCTTAGAACACAAAGCAATCTTTAATGTTGAAAGGCAAAATAGAATTCAGATATTTGTCTAGTAGGGTTAGAAGCTTTCTAACTGTTGAAGTCAGTTGGGTTTTCTAAGAAGGATGGCTAGGAAGGGTTGCCACCTTCACTCTGACATGTAACTTACATACTGAATGCCACAGACCCTCCCCTTCAGTGTCGGCCGTGTCCTCTCTTTCTTCCCAGGAGGTTTCTCTTCCTCGTGTACTTCCCAAGACAGAACAGAACTGACAGCATCACTCTCTCAGATTCAAGTCCTTTCCACTAGCTCCTTTAGTTTTAAGAGGGCAAAAAAATGTTCTTAACCCCAGAGGAGTTTAAAAAAAAAGCAAAAAAAAAACCCCACAAAAACATGCCCAGGTAAGCTTTCAATAAGGTATAAAATTGCTTTTGCTTTTGTCTCATGACAGCATCCTTTTTCTTTCTTTCTTTTTTTTTTTTTTCTTTTTTCTTTTTGGACACTGCCATCTCTTCTCTTTCCCTCTGAATAGAAGCCGAAAATTTGCCAAAGTTCTAATCTCGTTTCCCTCTTAAAGGGAGCATACTACAATTGGCCCCTTCTCTCCAGCTCCGCAGTATTCCTGATTCTTTCACAGCCATCCATAGGCAAAATCATTTTTCCCCCTCCGAATTCAATCTTTAAAAGATCAAGGCAGAACATACAGTTCCTAGTGCTTTTATCATCCCTAGAATAGGCCCATGGTTTTCCCAGATCAAGTCTGAAAGTAAGTTTTAAAAATTCAATGTTAAGTGGTCTTGAGTTATTTCTATGCCAAAAAAAAAAAAAAAAAGTCATTGTAGCCCAGTGGTTTAGTAATTATTAGAATATGCTTTCCACACACCCTGCCTCTGCTAGATAAGGGAAGGAAGGATAAGGAGGGAGAAAAGAGGTCCCACTAAAGGATCCAGCCCACGCTGCAGAGAAACTAGTCAGAGTCAATACTGCGGCTGACATCGAGACCCACTCGCCTTTGAAACTGACCATTGAGGAATTTAATCACAAAGCTCTTATCTGACACCTTCCCTGAAAAAGGGAGGAAAGGGTTAATTTCCTTCCAGTCAATAAGAATCACTTTTCTTCTTCTTCAGGGATCAGGCCCACTTCACAATAAACACTTTGTTTGATGGACCACTGCAAGGATGAACTCTGCTTTCAGCCAAAAAATCCTGTAAAGCCTGCGCAAGTTTCTCTCCGTCCATCCACACGCCCCCGCCACTCTGCCCACTAGACCTGCGGATTTGCTTTGACTAGTTACATCTCCGCCTTTGTCCTCAGCTGGGTTTTGGAGGAGATGGTTGTATAATTTCAGGATGTGACCCCGGGCTGACAAAATGCTTACCGGAATGTCGGATGTTAAATGGTTCCACAAATTTGGCCCACAACATGTATCATTCTTGTAGGTTCCTGTTCCATTTGTCATCCAATGACCCTTGACAACAACAAGAAGCTGCTCAAGGTTTCTGGGTCTTCATTCTCTCACCCGACCATTGGAGGCATGAGAATGGGACCTATTATAATCAAAGGCCCATATGATTTCAAATTTAAAAAGTAGATTTCGAGATAGAATTGTTTCCTTGTTAAATGCTCCCAACCTTGTTCCTTAAAGGGAACGGCACACACTGTGGGAGTCTGAGAATAAGAAAGTGCAGTTCATAAATCAAGAGCTACTGTGTGACTCTGCTCTTTTCTGCTGCCAGAAGAAAAAAAGAAAGGTTTTTATTTGAAACGGCATGCAGTGTGAATTCCGGTGGTGCCAACAACTGTTATAAACAAACCATTTTAAAAACACCTTCAACGTTATGCTAATTGGGGAACGGATTTTCAATTAATACAAGCCGTAACTGAGCAAATTTGAGGATGTGGAAAGTCTATTTCTGAATAGTGTAATAGATTCAGGGATACACCTTATGGCTGTGAGAATTCTGCCCTAAACCCACCATGCCCTGTGTCCCCACCATGGCCCACCATGTTGAATTGATCATCCATTCATTTCAACTTATGCAGACAAAAGCTTTCATAATCTGTTCTAGTGCAGACCCTTGATTGATCTTTGATTTTTCTTTTAAGATTTTATGTATTTATATGACAGACAGAGATCACAAGTAGCCAGAGAGGCATGCAGAGAGAGAGAGGAGGGGAAGCAGACTCCCCACTGAGCAGAGAGCCTGATGCGGGGCTTGATCCCAGGACCCTGAGATCATGACCTGAGCTGAAGGCAGAGGCTTTAACCCACTGAGCCATCCAAGCGCCCCAATCTTTGATTTTTCCAACCAGGTAAATGATACACTTTTGAAAAGATGATGGTCTTTAAGCTAAAGGCCGGATTTTAACCAAACTAATTGTATCAAGTCTTAATCATTTCTCAGATTACCCAATGAGCAAAGAATTTTACGGACACTCTTTTGTCAAAATGACTAGACAAACTATTTGTTAATCTGTTTCATACATTGTGTTCATTTGTACACTTTTTCCCTTGTTTTCTTTTTTTTTTTTTTTTAAGATTTTACTTATTTATTTGACAGAGAGGGAGAGGTCACAAGTAGGCAGAGCAGCAGGCAGAGAGAGAAGGGAAAGCAGGCTCTCCGCCGAGCAGAGAGTCCGATGTGGGGCTCAATCCCAGGACCCTGAGATCATGACCTGAGCCAAAGGCAGAGTCTTTAACCCACTGAGCCACCCAGGCGCCCCTTCCCCTTGTTTTCTATTAAATGATAGAGAAGACTGGCCAATTGCGTGGACATTCTGTGTGTAACACTGGTGTTACTTAGAATTAAAACCTGGCTTTCCAAACACCTCCATGCTTTCATAATCATCTTGTCACTTCCCATTCTGTCCCGAAAAAGCATTTGCAACCTTCCTCCTTCTGCATTTCTCTTTGCATGCTGTTCTCCTTACCCTCTAGAAACTGATAGTGGCTATTTCATTGGGGATAAAATTCCTCTTTTTATTAAAAATGGGAATCTGGGGGCACCTGGGTGGCTCAGTGGATTAAGCCTCTGCCTTCAGCTCGGGTCATGATCTCGGGGCCCTGGGATCGAGCCCCATATCGGGCTTCCTGCCCAGCGGGGAGCCTGCTTTCCCCCTCTCTCTGTCCGCCTCTCTTCCTAATTGTAATCCCTCCTGCTGTCAAATAAATAAATATATTTTGAAAAAAAAAAATGGGAATCTGAACACTGCAATGACAAAATCGTGGAATATAAAGTACGGAAGGAAATGCAGAATTTGCAGTTCCCCTTTGTACCAGTTTCAAAGTATTCTGCAGGTGGTTAATGGCCAAGGCAGAAGAAAGACCGTGACTTCGTTGTCATGATAAGGAGTTCTAATATAGAGGTGGCTAGAGTGAGGGGAGAGGCAGGGTCAGCATGGTGCGTCATTTCCCGAGATCTCGTTGTACTAACTTCAGATATTAAAAATAAATAAATAAAAGCTTCTTAATCGACTTGCACTGGTGGGACCTGCTTTTAGTCCTCTAGATCTTTGTATGGATTCAAGGAGAAACCTTTACTGATTTAGCATGTTTCCAACGGGCTACACACATGACAGAATATTTTCAGCAAAACAAGTGACCGACCTGAGTATCTGTCCTCATTTCTCAGTATGGGAAGTGCCTTAATCAGACTCACCCATTCGACAGCAAACCCTCTGTCATTTGCCTATATCCTCTCAAATTCAGCTCTTTTACTAAGCAGAATACACTCGCGGGTAATTCTTCAAACTAAAACTTTTCATTAGCACGTTGAAGGTACAACAAAATGGATAAAACTCTAGAAAAATCCCATGTCAACTTCAAAAATAAAATCCGATCTTGTCTCTAGCGTCTGCTTACTATAAATATATTAATAGGGATACAAATTGTCTGGGTAATTTGAGACACACCACAAATAATGCTCTAAATACCTCTGGTGAAACTCAATTATTCATGCCCAGGGCCTGTGATATTAACAAGTATCATCTTTAGCATGTCGCTGATTTACATGAAGTCCTTGGGAATCAAGTTACTTTCCTGGCGACCGTGAGATGAGATAAATTGTAGTGGACACTTGAGAGCTGAGGAGGCAGAGTGTAGAAAGGATGGCCTAGATTCTGTGTGCAAGTCATTGTCTTTGGGGACTGGCTTGGGTGCAGTTCTGTGGTTCGTGGAGAGGCCTGAGCAGGGGGTGGCTGGCTGGTAGTGAGAGGAGATGTCATCAGATGGCACTTGTGGGTGGGCCCTGGTTGCTAAGGAGGAAAGAAAGAGGGGTGTTAATGGGATGGGACAGAACCCAAACAAGTTGGGGTTATTTTGCTCCAAACCTGTCCCACAACTTATTGCCTTGGAATTAAGCCTGAGCCTTGTGTTGCCTGGAATCATCATAAAGAGACTCAGACACAGTTAGGTGGAGCTCTTCCTTTAGCCACCGACCACCTGCTTCACTCAGAGCCCACTAGATGCTGCCCAGACGTCTCCAAATAGACCCTGTCTCCCGCATGGCAAACAGTGTCTCCTTTGTTGACATCCTATGGTGTGCTCGTGTTTCTTCTCAGCTGCTCAGAGCAGGTCTCTGGTTAAGCTACAGCCTTTGACCTCTCTGTTCTCTTCTCCCTCCCAACCCCAGCCTCCAACTCTGGTCCAAATCCTCAAGGACAAAGACCTTTACCTCTTTCCTGATATAATTCTACAATTTCTCCTGAAGCTGGGGCGCCTGGGTGGCTCAGTGTAGGTTAAGTATCTGACTCTTGATTTCCAGCTCAGGTCCTAATCCTTGGGTTGTGAGATCAAGCCCCACATCAGGCTCCGAGCTGGGCTTGGAGCCTGCTTAAGATTTTTCCTCTCCATCTCCCCCTCCCTCTCTCTAATTAAAAAAAAAAAAATATGTGCCAGTTTATGATAGGGAAGGGACTCTCAACTATATTAACAATTGAACTGAATCCAGAGCTGGGAAGGAGAAGAAGAAATCTGGTTTTACAGCATTGCGAGTAATTATCTGGAGAGCCTCTTTCTAGCTCATTTTTTTTCTTAAGTAATATCTACATCCTAACCATAAATCCTGCTGCATCCCAAAAGATGCTGTGTTTTATAAAGAAGTAGGAAAAATTTAGAGGCTGGGAGTATGTCTCCCCATTTTTCTGGTATGTCAAGATCATACCAAAGTAATAAGAATTATAATTCTACATTATCTTGCCTTAAAAACAAATTGCCTTCAGAAGCAATTGTCTGAAATAAAACATGTTTGGGTCTTGCAGAGAAATCAGGAATTGGGAGGCAGATTCCAGTTCCAGGGCTGTCCCCAACATCCTGAGTGGCTTAGGAAAGTAACTCTTCTCTGAACCTCAGTGTCCTCATGCCTGAATCAGGGATAAGAGTACCTATGTTGGGACGCCTGGGTGGCTCAGTTGGTTGGACGACTGCCTTCGGCTCAGGTCATGATCCTGGGGTCCTGGGATCAAGTCCCACATCGGGCTCCCAGCTCCATGGGGAGTCTGCTTCTCCCTCTGACCTTCTCCTCGCTCATGCTCTCTCTCACTGTCTCGCTCTCAAATAAATAAATAAAATCTTTAAAAAAAAAAAAAAAAAAGAGTACCTATGTTACTGAGTGACAATGAGTCTGAGTGAGATAAGGACCGGGAAGCCATCTTTCACTGGGCCAAGATCATAGTAATTATTCAAGAATTGTTGAATGAATCAGAATCCTACGAGGGCTCAGTTTCCCCCTCTATAAAATACCAGAGCTTCTGCTTGTACCCTGTCAAAGAGCTCTCCACTTGCATGACACAAGACTGACAAAGTGGCTCCCAGTAGACATTTCTATTTAAGCTCAGGGGTGGCACCATTGTTTCCTACCACTAAAGCAGGTGGCCCAGTTCTCTGCCTCTCCACTAGCTCCCCAAAGCTCAAGGGCCCAGATCATTTTGCTTTCCTTTTCACAACTTTCACCAAATGGGAAATCCCCTATTCCTTGTCCTCAACACACACGCACACACACACACACATCCCTCTCCCCTAACACACACACACACACACACACACGCGCACACACACACACACACACACATTTATACACATGCTTTCAACTCATTTTTTAAAATGTATTGCTTAAAAAGAAATTGTATCACTCTTTCCTCTGAGCAACGAAGCTAAAGGAAACAAGCCCGACAAGCTTGGCAAAGTTACCAGGTTAGAGAAATTCACAGGATGGTTATCATGTTTATTCTTTGTCTTAAGTGGTATGGGCACGTTTTACCAAGATGGTTCTGAAGGTTTCTCTTGTTTTTATCATGATAATCAGCCCATCCCGGTCTTGGCTGGAGGCCAGCCTGAGTTGCTCAGAACTTATTTTGAGCTGTATCTGGGTTGGTTGCAGAAGCTGGATATCATGAGGTCTTACGTCCTTTTAAAGACCACAGTTCAATTTCCTCTCGGTGTAGAAGGTTCCCCAGGGATCTCTAAAGCTCTCCAATGAGAATTCGTTGCTAAGTGTTTTCATTCTTGTTTTGTTTAGTCATTCATTCATTTTTTTTTTTAATTGAGCCC